CAATAGCAGCGGTGGCAGCAACAATGTAGCAGGAGCAATAGCATTAATTGGAGCAGTATAAGCAAAAGTATAGCAGTGTTGGCAGGAGGAGGAGCCCACATGGTGGCCTTCACCAACAGCTGGGCGACTGGTAGCCCCAGGCCAACGTTGTCGAAGGCCTGGATCAGTAGCAGCAAATCAAGACACAAACCCAGAAGCCTTCATCCAAAAGCCATGGCAGGAACTGGCCCAGAAGTCGAGCTCTTGTGCGACTAAGTTCGGATTACTTCTAGACACGGATGAGCTTCCCTCACATGCCACAGTGATCTGCATTACTACCGAAAGCCTCGACTGAGAGGTCGGGTCCTTCATGGCTTCGGGCTGCAAAAAACGGGGAGTTTCCGAAAATTAGGGGTGCCTTGTTGTGGGATCCTTGTAAGAAGTGTCCTACTATTTTGGGCACTATATTAGGGTCCCCTATTTCGGAAACTCCCACACATCTCCCAAACTTGTGATCACGGCTCCACCTTGGCATGAGACACGATCTTTGCGGCAACGCCATCCATGCCTGCAGCACACGCGGTAAAACCCCAAAGCTGCAAACTCTAGCCCCCCAAGGCCGAATCCCAACTCCTTAACCTCTAAAGCTCCCAATCGTAAAAACGGTTTGGAGTTCATGAGCATCTAGGGGTCAAGGGACGCTCCGCCAGGCTTGGGCCACTGGTTGAGGCTTTAATTTCTGCACAGCTTTAAGAGCTCAGGCCAGCAATTCGTAGACTGACTGAGAGTAATCTTAGATCTAGACTGGGAGGCTCAGGTGTTTAGCATCGGTTTTAACTCTTGCCTTGGGCGCATACTCAGGTTGCGCTGCCAGGTCCCTACTCCAAAATCCCAACCCAGTCATTACATATAGTTGTTGTGCTGTTGCGTTGATGGTCTTTGTCTTGTTCATTCTTGTTCTCGTTCTTACCACCGTCGCCTTCGTTGTCGTCGTGGTCGTCGCCGCGATGGTGACATGGGAGCCATGATGTTGCTACGGTGGTTGTGGCGAGGGTGGTTGCTGCTGGTGGTCTTCCTGGCGGTGCTGTCCATGCTGCGGTGACAGCAAGACTTAGCATTCTTGCAGGACTAGCACACACCTTGCAGGTCGTACTCCAGCCAGTACCAACCTACTGAGCATTCCTTCTTCCCCAAACCCCAAAATGGGAGCCTCCGGAAATAAGGGACCCTAATACGGTACCCGAAATAGTAGGACCCTTATTATATGGGCCCCAATTTAAGGTACCCCTATTTTCGGAAGCTCCCAAAATTTCTCAGCCCCAGACCCCACCGACACCACCGAAACCCTGACCCCGAAACAGCCGAAGGTCGCTGCTTCCGAGGATTTCGCTAAGGTCCTGGCTCAAGGCCGTCTCCGAGATCCAGCAGAACACTGTCACAATCTGGCTGAGGGTTTTGGGGGAATTGTCTACCATGGGGACTGAAACGGCGCGAAGCCGTATCTTTTTATTCAGATCCATACCGTCAGGGCTTTAGCTTTCGGTGTTTAGGCTGCTTTCTTGGAGTGTACTTGGAGGATCATGAGACTTAGTAAGTAAGGTTATAAGTACCCTAATTGGAGTTATAAGTATAGTTACCTTATTCATAACCCTAGTTACTAAGTCCCATGATCCTCCAAGTACGGCTTGGGGCCCAGGGTTTCAGTGGACGTCGGATCCACACTTCGGTGCTTCTGCTGATGATAAAAAAAATCCTGCATTACCTTAGGGACCCTAAACTATGGGAATTATGGTATATTCCTTGTTCTGGGTAATGCAGGATTTATATCATCAACCGTTAGACTTACAACATGGGAGCACCAATGCCGAGAAAAGCAGCTGTAGTCAGTATATGAATGTCGGTGGACAGTTCCTGATGAAGCCCTCTAAACAAAGCTGTGCTGAAGGAAGCTATACTCTACAGGAATACTAGAATTCGCTAGCAACTCGGACTTGCTGTTCGTCCATTTCCTGTGCCGCGTTGTTGTTGGCCCGCCGGTTCCCGGCGCCGGCAACGCACGCTTCTGAGCATGCCAACACCTCGTAAGCTTTCGAGCCAAGAATCTGAAACTCTAAGAGCTGACTGAGAACACCCGATTCAAAACCAAATGCAAGCACTGCGAGCCATGCCCCTCTGCAGGCAAAAATCCCGCCGAAAGAGAAAACAGCATCCCAAACCCAAACATCCAACCCCCAGGCACCAGAACCCCGAAACCCCCATACCCACATTGCAAACCCTAAAACCTCAACCTCTAAACCCTGAGCCAGCCAGCCCTTATGCCCTTTCAGAGCTGCCGAAACTACCAGGGCTTCTGTGAGGTAGTGCTTGAAGGGCTTCCTGCTTAGGCCTAGGCTGACATTGTGCTTCGTGGGGGGATGTCGCTCGAACAAAGCGCCTGGTGTTCTGCATGCGATCTGATGTTGGGCTGAGGATTTACATCCCCCTCAATTCAGCGAAGCTGCATTCGCGAAGAAGAACAGCAATGCCTCGAGCCATCCATCTCCCTCGCTTTCTCTCTCTTTCTCTCTTCCTCCTCTTCTTCGTTCGGGTTCTTAGGATTCCCACGCAAACACGCGAGAATCCTCACGCGAACACTCTCAGCCGTTGTCCGATGTCGGCAGTCGCTGGCTATCTGACACGGTAAGCTTGGCACTTCTGTGCAGAAAAAATGTCCAGCCCCCCGCCACAATGGCACAACTACTCCCCCACCCAGCGCCCCGCCGGTACGGGGCCTCTTGGGCCAAAATTGAGGGCAGAGGTAAAGGAGCCAGCATGCTCCTCCAGAGCGCTTCGCCATTCTTCATGAAGAGGTGAAGGACACACCTCATCCCCACGATTCGGCGACAGGACCTTCCCTGGCGGACCCATGCCTGGGGGCCCGCTCTTTGGCTGGAGGTCGAGTGCTTCGCTGCACTTCGCTGGAAGATACTTCTGTTGCTTGCGAAGCGCTGGGAGTTTGTGCCACCACCCCCCCCCACCCCGCCCCCCCAAAACAAACAACAAATACTTGTGTTTTCTGTCTCACTATCTATCTCTCTCTCTCTCTCTCTGTCTCTGTCGCCCTCCACCTCTGTCAGGTAAGGAGTCGTTAGAGCTTGTGTTAGAACTTGGGGTGCCAATTGGGGTCTTGGGTCTGTAGTGCAAAACCGACATGCACACGAGCAGCTCTCGCTTGAGCAGCCGTCACGGCAGTGCCAGTTTAGTAATGGCAGTACTACCAAGACCATCATTGCCATGGCGGCGACTACTTCTGCAAGTGGCGTAAATCCGACTCACGACGACAGATTGCAGATTGCAGGAGTACAAGCCGAAATGGGATCCTTTCATACTGAAACATTGGACACCACACCCCCCTCATCCCCTCATGCCGACAGCGTCGACGGAAACCCGGGACACCAAACAACTCTAAGCCATAGGCGAGGATGATCGCCACCTTGGCCGCGCAGACGGTCATCCAAGCGCCGCAGTAGGACTCCTCGCCCTTGGCTTGGAAAGGACTTGGAGGTTCATGGGTAGTTATAAGTGGTGTTATAATTAGGATAACTATTATTATAATTAACCCCTATTAGGGGACTTATGACCCCAGGGTTTCGGCTTAGGGTCCAGGGTTGCTTCAGGATGGGCAGCATTGCACAGTTGTCGTTGTCTCAGCACTACATCTCCTAGCCCAGAATAGCTGGACGATAAAGCCACCCCAAATCTCGAATAAACATGTGCAAGCTATCCGAAGTGAGGTGAGTTCAACATCTCGACCACGGAATGTGCCTGGGCACACGAAACCTCACATCTACGGGCGCAGCTTCCATGGAGCCAAGCGAGTTGCTAGTCAAGTTGTAAGTATCCTGAGTTGGGGTAGCCAAACCATAGCCCTACTCGTGACCGAATATGACAAGCCATCTGACCCTGAAGCCTACAAACAACCCCTGTCACCCCTTACGATCAACTCCAACAGACCTATGACCCTTCGAAACGATAAACAGGCAATGAGACGCGACAATGACCCTGGACGTTCTGTGAAATCCTGCCAGGGCCTCTATCAGACCTGTGCCTATGCGCCCACCTGCTACTTGGAGGGTCGGGGGACTTAGTAAGTAGGTAGTAAGTAGACTTATAAGTACCCTAAAAGGGACCCTAATTGGGGTTATGGTACTTATAAGTCCCTAAAATAACCAACTACTAAGTCCCCCGACCCTCCAAGTAGCAGGCTACAGGATCCTACTTGCTGGCTGCTCGCAAAGCCAGAACCAACGTAGGGCCTAGGGCTTGAGATGCTCAGGCAGCAAGATTCCTTTCTGGAACCCAAAACCCCCCGTAAAGAAAGCCTCAAGGGACCCCATAAGGCAACCCTGGCGGTTCGGGGTACAGGCTGCAGGGCCGCTGAAACCTACCCCCTGGAGCATTGTGTTCTACTATTCTTCAAGCCGAGTGTTCGAGTTCGTTGTGCTAGAACCCGCATCCGCTCTGCATAGCGGCATGCGGTCCCGCGGCTTAGGGATGGGAAAGTTTCTACGCTTAGCAACAAGAACAAAGCTATGGCAGAGAACACATTAAGGTAGGTCTACATCGTCCGGACGGCCAGTTGCCGGCACAAGTCGATTTTGGAAAGGATTCTGAAGCGCCCTGATTGGCAGTGGTTTGGCGTCTGAAGCCGCAGCTGTAAACTCTACACACTAAACACTCAGCCTTGATCCGCAGCTTCACGAAATTTCAGCCGTGGCCGGTGCACCAAATGACTCGGCAGAGTGTGGCGTGAAACTGCGACGACACTTTGGCCTCAAGCCAAATGTCGGATCTGCCAGAGACCGCCCTAAACCAGTGCTGAGACTGATAAGGTGGCTTTAGTACGTAAGACAGGGTTGTGGGGACATTCTATTATAATCATGATAGGAACTTTGCCTTGATAATGTTGCTCAGTATTTCGGTCCTGTAGTATACCCTAAACTCTAAACCTTAAACCCTAAACTCTAAACCCAGATCTCAAGTCACTTCGAACTAAAGCCCTTGGCCTGGGACCGATCGCTCAAGAGCAGGAATCCATAAAGGATTGAGAGAGCGGCCAGGCAAAAACTGTGGGGCCTCTGGCCCCTCGCGCCACCGCTGATCTCATAGCTTGGCTCGTAACACCTCCTGATGTAGCACTTCGCATCGAGGTAGAACCCACCTGGTTCAGGCTTCCCCGGCTCGAGGGAACCGGGTCTACGGAAGATTACTGAAGCCCTGATATTCCGGAACAGGGCGCATTGCGGCGGGCGCTTGAAGAGCATCCGTCAGTGTGCGGTGTGCGGAATTTGCATCATGCTGGGTGTGCTCCATTTTTAGACAAAGCCCACCTGCAGTTTCGAGTCGGGAGTTGGATTCGCCACCACTGCCCGGAGTGCCCGGAAGTTTGTGGCACTTTACCTAAGAAACTCGGGGGAACTGCAGTGCATAATTATGATCCGACTTATATAAACACAGATGTTACAAAGTCTGACACCTCCCACTCGCTGAACCTGATGGTTTAAGCCTTCAGTGGCTTACAGGCCCCTAAGAGCCCAGTCGCATCCAAATATCCTGCAGTCTTCTGATACCACTCAACTCCCTCGCAGTTTTCATCTGCATTGCAGAAGGATTGACAGTCCTCCAGGGAGGAACTCGCAGAGGGGACCGCATCGGCTCGGAGATCGACATTTCCCAGGTCTCTGCACAAGCCATCCTTTAAGGAGTAGCTGTCGCGGCATCCATGCTTGATATAGCACTGCGCATCCAGAAAAGATCCGCCTCCCTGCCTGATCGGCAAAGTCGATGAGCCACCGGCACCGGGAGAACCTGGGAATGTATGGCACTTGACGCCTTCGAAGCCAGGAGTGTCGGGATACCACTCAAATCCCTCGCAGCTTGAGCTCTCGCTGCAGGCCGCCCGGCAAGCCGCAAGAGACTCAGCACCGGCCGGAAAAGCATTCGCAAGAACATCACCACCAAAGGCGTCCCGGCAGAAGCCTTCAAAGTGGGTGAATTGGGTCGCGTTCACCGAACCTTGGGTCGTGTTGCCTGCACATGCAGCAGGGGCAACTGCCACAGCGGCAGCCAAGAACACCTTCATGGCTCAAAGGCAAGCCGAAAGGAAGGTCTTGAGATCCAGATGTCAGCAACGATCATCCTCACGTTCGGCAACTACCCGACACAAAGCGACTAAGGTGAAATGCAGAGAATGGATCCCCAGACCTGGCTCCACGGCTTACCCTCCGAAGTATATTGCAGGATCCCAAGTATGGGAGCCTCATTTAGGAAGCCATGTGCACGTTCTTGGCACGACAGCTGACATCAACAGCAATCTCACTGTATGATGTAGAAGATGTTCGATCGAAGTCAATGCAATGCAAGCAGCCGCTTGCGAAGGATGGAAGGCGACGACACCAGGCACCTAAGCGGGACGAGCAACTTCCCAAAAAACCGTAAAAGACATGCAACCCAAGCGCGGCAACCCCGGGACCCGAACTGTGATCCCACCCCCAGAACCTAGACCCTGAGAACCCGTATGAAACTCCCTCGAACCCTAGGCCCCATGAGATCTGGGACCCGTTTCTTCAAGAACAATCACTGAAACCCCATTTGATCAAATCTTCACGACTCTAAGAGCCTCAACTCCAAACCTCAAACCCTACGACACCAAATCCTGCAATCCTAGGACCCTGAACCCCATGCACCTACCCAGAGACTCCAATATCCCTTAATCAAGTAATGTACCTTAAACTATAGTGGGATCCCGAATATGATTTAAGGAATATTCCTTTATTAAGGGATATTGGAGTCTCTGGGTACTGCCCTGAACACCATCAGCGTGAGCAGCACACCACAAACCCCACATCCATGGCCAGGGGCTATCAATGCTCCGCTCCGGTTAAAAAGTTGAGGGATGAGGCGGGAAACGGGCCACGGTTTAGGGTTTGGGGTTTAGCGGTTTGGGTTGAGGGTTTAGGTTTAGGGGGTTTAGAGCAAAGAGTAGTGGAACAGTTGCCTAAACAGACAGACCCCGCCCCTGAACTAACCCCCAAAGCCCTGGACTCTCTTACATTCCCCCCCCTTCCGCCCTAAACCCCAAGACCCGAGACTTTGTTGATGTTAAGAGCGTCTTGCGTGGCTAGGGTCAGGGTGGAGGGGCAAGAACAACTACTAAGGGATTGCGATCTTTTTGAGCGGATCTGTAGGGCTGAGTAAACTCTGGATTGAGGACCATTTCGACTTGTTCAAAAGTGCCATGGCAGCCTAGAGTACCCTGCTCAATTTGGGTTTATAGTGTGCAATGCAATCTGCAAGGCTCGGGCTTAAGAGGTGTGGGTCAGAGCCTTTCGGGGTTTAGGGAGGGGAGGGGAGGGTTGCTACTTACTGTACAGACCCCTCACAACATGGACAAACAAAGTTCGGAGCCTGGCCTAGCTTCCAGCCTCCAGGTGCCGAAAAGGCACGAACATGTAGGCGAAGTAGAGGTAAGTGTTGTAGAAGGTGGTCAGCAGCCACCTGGTCTCGATGAACATCACGGTAAACCCCAAACCGAACCCAAAACCGGGATCTAAGCACCCTACCTGAAGGATCATGGGACTTAGTAAGTAAGGCAAGGTTATAAGTACCCGAATTGGAGTGTTAAGTACAGTTACCTTATGTATAGCCCTAGTTACTAAGTCCCATGACCCTCCAAGTAGGCACTTAGGGCTCAGGCCCAGGCCTTTGTACTGTAACCTTCGAAACTCTTGCGAAGCCTGAGCCCCAAAACCCACTTCCGGTTTCAGGTTTAGGTGTAGGGGTCTACGGTTAGGGTGTGGTTTGTGAACTTTCCCTTTTTGATGTCTTTGGTGTTGGTACGTCCTGGAGTGGCTGACATTCGGGTTCTAGGGCCCAGGTCTCAATGCCTATCTTTCCCTCAAAACCGGCAACCCAAACCCTACAACCGCCCCCTGAAACCGAACATTCTGCTGAGTATCCTCATCAAGGACATGAAATATGAGCATCTAACGAAACTCACAAAAGATAAGTCATGAGACGACACAAGTACACACCCCGAGATGCCTAGATTTTAAGGCGGAACCGTTCAAACCTCTTTATAGATGCCGTCTGTTTACTTTGAGATGGACTCCCTGAAAGAAGAAGCTTTGGCTCAGCTTTCCAGCATCACTAGGGTTTTGCAAGGGTTCTGTAAAACCCTAAATCCTAAACCCCTAAACCCCTAAAGCCTAAAGCCCCACCCTAAAGTCCCAAACCCTAAACAGCTTATAATTGAAGGATGCTTATCACCAAGGTTTCAGGAGGACTCAGAAGCTACCTGAGACGCCGGATTTTTCAGGGTTCGACATCGAATATCGGGGCCTTAGAAAGTAGAGTAGGGTTCCATTTAAAGGGGTCTACAAAGGGATCTATAGTAGGGTTCTATAAGATAGGGGCCTTAGTAATTTAGAATAGAGTTTTGGGGCCCAGTATACTGTAGAAACAATAAGGAACCCCCCACAATAGTATAGGTGATTAATAAGGCCCCCTGTAGTACTTGGAGGTTCAGGGTGCTCCTCAAGCTGCCCTTTGGTGCAGTCCCATGACAAAGTCCTCTTTGAAGCTGGGTGGCAATCACGAGTTAAGCTCCGGGTGAAATGTATCTCCAAGTATCTAGACCTCTTGCTGTTTCGAGACCTTTGGACGAAACTACGGCTAATTCGGATACTTACCGGTAGTGATCTTGTGCCCCTCGGAACAAGTTATACCGCTGTGCCGAACAGTAGCTCCCTGCAGGCTGGAAAACATATCATTCAGCCCTGACGGTATCTAGCCTTCATTGTTGCAATCACGCAAACTTATTTATTGCTCATGCCCTAGTATATGTATATATATATATATATATATATACATATATATATATATACACTTAGAGTGGAAGCCCTGAACCCGAAAAACCTACGCATGGCTTCGAAGGGCTTTCGATGCAAGACCTGATGCCTGGAGATTGTGAGTTTGGGTTGAAGACCTCTTGAGGGCTCCAGCCGCCATGCTCCGGCTGATACTTTAGAAATCAGGGACTTGGGTAAAATGCGTTCTGATAACCATTTTTAGCATGCTGCAGCCCTGCTTTGAGACTCCGCACGACGTCCCCGGAGGCCTTCTAGCAGAATTCGGGGCATCGTCGTTAAGATCTGAGGCCGCTGGCACGAAAGTTCCGAAGCCGATGACGTGGGCAAAGAAGTTCACCCGCACCCTGCAAGTTTCAGGTTTAGGGTTCAGGGCTCCACTCAGGAATACACGATTAGGAGGTATAGACACACACTTGCATCGGGGACCTGAGATAGGCAGTTTTGACCACAGAATGAAACGACCAGCTCTTCCTCAAGCCTTCCTGCCAACATCTTCAAGGGTGCAGGGCCGATGAGAGAAAAGAGTTTCGGATCAGGGGGAGGATGGGAAAACCTTGAACCGTAGGTTTCGCGCCAATTATATCGGAGGTCTGGTAGTACCAAGCACTTCACCCACAGGGTTGTGGGACTTGAACTTAAGATCCAGGCCCTCAGGTTGCAAACTTGGTCTTGATCGATTCCAAGATCAGGGCTTAGGGTCAGGGGTTCTGCGGTGTATGTGTAGCCTGGATCCAGTCCTCGCATCCGTAGATTGTAAGCTGACATTTACCTTCATCACAAGGCTAACAGCAGCGGCAGTTGACATGCGATATACATATACAGTAGACACAGACATGCCTGTCTACCTCCAGCAAAACCAATACAGAATATGCGCACCATCATCACCACCATCATCAGCAGCAGCATGAGCAAGCAGCTCATAATCACCCCGTTTCTACATTATCTGATTTTTACATCATCGCCATCAACATCACCATCACCATCACCGTCATCATCATAATCATCATGATCGTCATAGTCATCATCATCGCCGTCCGCACTGCCGACGTGACGAAATCCTAGAGCACAATCGCAGAAGCCGTTAAACCGTAGGGCTTGTGGCAATGGTCGCTCTGAATCAGGGGTGGGCACACCTAAACCATGCAAGACACGCGCTGTGTGCAACCCTAGATCCTGAACGATGAACCCTAAAAAGTGCATAACCGCAAGGGGAGCACGTAGCCTAAGCCCTAAACCATTAAGCCCTAAAGCCTTAAACCCCGGGCCCTAAACCCCAACACAAGAACCCGCAACTGTCGCGCACCTGCCCTCTGCTTCCACAGCGTGCTGAAGCGTGCCAGCGTAAACTGAGCAGAGGGTTGAGGTCATAAAAGCCCTTCTTTTCATTAGAACAGGATTTTGGTGGACATTCCAGTAGAACCATAATCAAGCAAAGGCAACGCAAGCTACACAACCTTCTGCGAGTTATGGCAGGAAGCCCCTCCAATTGCAAAGTCATTATCATCTACAGAAGCCAGCGAAGAGGGGGCCCAAGAATTGCATGAAGAAGAAGATGCCAAAGCTCAAATTCCAAGCATTTGGCCCAGGCCGAAGATAATTGAAGGGGCCCCGGGTTTGGACTTTCGCCACCATCCAATGGATTTTAGGTTCAAGTTTCCGGTGAGAGCAGCTTGTCCGTGTTGAGGCTCAGGACTTGTTGAGGATCTAGAACCTTCAAGCCCAATATTTGCGGAGTGCTAAAGTCGAGCTAGTTCGACTTCTTTGGCTCAAAGTTAGCGGTGGGCTTGGGGTTTGAGCTCCTGGCACCCTAAACCTTGAAGGCCTAAACCCGCGAACCCCGAAATACTCCAAGCTCAATCTCAGAAGGCTCAAACCCAGGCTTCCTGGAATAACCAGAACAAGGTTTTAGTTGGGGCCCATTGTACTATATAACTATAATTAAGGAACCCCCCAAAATAGTATAGGTAGTTATTAAGACCCTTTCTGCCCATGGCCCGGACGAGTGAAGAGGGTCTTGAGCTCGTCGAGGCCTGTGCTGCTCATCTTGCGGCTGGCCTGCGACGACATATAGTATGTTATAGTAAGTTATGGTATGTTACAGTATGATATGGTATGTTATTATGTTATAGTATGTTATAAGGATATAGTATGTTTTTATGTTATAGTATGTTGTAGTCTAATCTAGTCTAGTCTAGCAGAATGCAGTAGAGTATATTATAGTGAAGCATAGCGCATCATGGTATGTGGGAATATGTTCTGGCGGCTAGAGGGAAATTCTAACAAATCATGGCATCGTACAATCATATTGTGTAATAAACAGATAGATGTATAGATAGGTAGATTGCTACATTCGCCGTTAGATAAATAGACGGATAGATAGCACCTAGCCGCATGGATACACAGATGTGTCGGCTTTGAGTGGAGAACTGTGCCCTTTCAGGACTAACGAATCTACAGGGAGCTCCCGCAGTGGTATACTATGGCATATTATAGTATACCCGGGAATAATGTCGTATACGTAGACCGTCTCTGACTGATGTTCACCGAGCTTCGGAGGCTGCTGCGGGGAGAGTGCGAAAACACTGGGCCCAACACCTGCCCAAGTTAATTAGGCCAAATGACGAACTGTAAACCCAATCCTGCACGGTAATCCAGGCGCTTTAATAATGGGAAAAATCAGGTTAAACAAGGTTTTGGGGTGTCCTGCACTATGATGAGGAACCCTGAAAACAAACATGTCGCCCCATGCCCCACAAATCTTGGAAACTGCCAAACCTGTCTGCCTCGGCCATTTTCGCTTGCATCTCTTCGTTGCGCCGACGGATGTCAGCCTCAACCACGGGTCTCCAGGTCTTAGGGTCGCTTTATGGCTTCTTTTGATTTTTTTTGGATGCCATGCGGTGCCGACTGCACACCTCAAAAAGCGGACTAACTCCGGCTGGCGCGTCGGCGCAGCTACCAAGTGCGCTTTACACGCCGTGTTACCTTGCAGCGTTTGTTTCATTCCCAAGTGCTCTATGGTTTCGGGTTGAGAGTTTAGGGCTTAGGGTGGGCAATGGTTTCACGAGCTTCTTTCCAACATCGATGTGATTCGGCGCAAAGGCCGATTGGTGGCTGAGAAGACTAATAAGCGACGTGTTATGCACGGATGTGGCAAACTGCCAAATCAGCCAGGAGAGTGCTGAAAGGCAGGCTTATCCCCGGAGGTTGCATAAAAATGATCTGCTGAGCAGGTCCACCGCTCTCGTCAGCGGAGCAGCCGAGCAGCCTCTCCTAACAAGCCCTGCCATGGAACTCAGGGGCTACGGGTTGCGCGGCTGTACGCAACTCGGTATATGTACTTGGAGGCTGGCACGATGGCTGGCCGCCACAAATCCGACGGCGCCCAGATGCACGAAAATGTAAGTTCGGAATTCGACAGTGACCTAGCATGCAGTATGTGCCGTCCCTGGGCAATCCGATGTATGACATCTGAATCGAGTGACTCATAAGCGCAGAGTGCACAAAATGCAGCTCGCCACAAAAAAGACTGGAGGGTCAATGATCGAGGAAGGGGGGCAGGCCAGGTAAAAAAAAAAAATCAGGGCTAGAAGAAGCCGCTCGACAACCAATCGCCAGAACTGGCACGGTACAAGGTCGTATGCACCATCTGCGTCGGTGGCTCAGCCGCATCTGGGGCTTACTGTAAACAAGCTTCCCTGAACCCTAAACCCCAGGCCCTGTCGTTGTCTTTAGGAAGTTCTATGTCGCGGTTCCTGACAAAGCGCATGGCCTAGGGCCTTGGAGCAGCGTAGAAGCTTTAGCGGTATCAATCTAGGGGCTTTCATAATCACCTATCATATTTTGGGGTTCCTTATTATATTTGTAGTACAATGGGCCCCAAAAGCCTATTCCAATCATTCAGGCCCCTATAGTACCGTTTGCGCTTCGACATGAAGTCTTCTCAGGCCTGAAGTGGTGTTTAGGCTCCCTAGCTCAGGGCGTAGTGAATTCCGATTTCAATACACTAAGACACGTGAGGTAATCCTTAGAGCTAAGGCCTTAACCGTTTGGAGCACTGCTGGAAGTGATGGACTGCGCAACTCACTACCGCGCTTTGAGTGTTTCTGCAGTCGCAACTGCCATGAGTTGGGCACCGGCTGAGACTTCGAGAGGCTCCAAAGCCGAGCTTAACTGGTCATAAGACATGTCTCTTAACATCACCGCGATAGATAGTGATGATGCACATCATCATTTGTATCGTGATATTGCCATGTTCGGGGTCCGCCTTGGCCATCACGCACCGGATTACCTCGCAGGTGGGAGTTACGAAGGCTTGACTCCCAGCGTGGTAGCTTTACCCCTGAACCCATGTCTTGTTGTCCACAAGGACTGGAACAGGAATCACTATGTAGGAGGGAAGTCGAACTTTCAGCCCGTCTATATGAGAAGTCTGTATGACATGCTTTCAAGTTGGCATCATGATTTCGTACGGCTTGACGGCAACTGAGAACTTCGTGAGTAAGTTACAAGCACGACTATTTACAAGGATACCCTCACTCGGGCACTGGCTTATGATTTCGGACAGGAAGGGCCGAAGGACTCGAATCGGTGCTCTCGAGTTTTCGGCTTTGGTTCTCAGATTGGAGTGCGGGTTTGAAAGTTTAGGGGTTTACCGTAGGCCTCTAGGGTTCAAAATGCCCAACCTCTCAAAAACATCGAGAGAAACATGCGCGGCGATCTTGTTGGAATTCACGCCTGCGGGACGGGTCCTCAGAATGGGTATTCGTCATGCCTTCATACACAAGTATTCATACCGAGATTGCCCTGAAACTCTTGAGCGCAGTGGTTGACTAAACCCTGAAAAAAACTGACAACAGCCAGTCAGAGCTCACCCAAAACACCCGGATTCAGCACGACCCTTCACCCCGAGACCTCCGGCCACTACAACTCTTCCAATAGCAAAAACAAAATTCGGATCCCGGGCTTCCGAACCCTTCATCTCCTGATCTTTTCAATGACATAAATGGGAGTTTCCGAAAATTGGGGATCCTAATATGGTAACCTAAATAGTAGGATCCTTACTATGAAGGCCCCAAAATGAGGTACCCCTAATTCTCGGAAACTCCCAAATCCCTGAAGCCTATAAAAACCGAGAAACCCCGAAGAATGACTCCGCCTGTGCCAGGCGGGCGAGGATCACCAACGACGCCACAACACCCACCGTGCGGGCCCAAAGCCTGTTAACATAGGGGCCTTACCAACTGGAATAGGGTTTTGGGCTCCTTTATAGTACAGTTCGAGTAAGGAACCCTAAGGAATACCTATCATTTCAGCTGCCATGTTAGTTTTGAAGAAGCCCTCCAGGGACGGCGGCTGGACAAGGTCTATTTAAGTGGGGCCGTCAGGAAAGTAGGGGTAGCTCATCTAAGAGCCCTGAGATAAAGCATCCCACGATTTAAGGTTCTTCTTTTCGGGCCCGTTGTTTTCGGAACTCCCAAGGTGGGCAGGGGTGTATGAGACGTTATTCAGACTTGCCGGGTGTGGTCTTCGACATCCCTCCGAAGCCCTCCTGAGACTCACCACGACGATGACAACATGGTTCGCTAAGGTCATAAGGGTCCGAGCGTCAACACGAAAGAAGTCTGGGGAAAGCATGCACTCGCTTTATGGCAGATGGCATTTATCTGGGTATGCGCATACGCCAGATTTAGTAGCAATGTTCGATACTTCCAAATTCTGGGCGGCATGATACAGCGAATATGACATTTCTTGTTAGGACGAACCGACATTAAAAGCTGCCCTGAAGACGCTTCGATACGAAAACGGTTGCACGGGACGTTGCAAGAACCTTTCCCTAAAATCCACGCGGAAGTGGCTCGGCTGAGGAGTGAATTGCCAATGACGGCCCGAAGACGAGGAAGATGGGTGAGCTATCCCGAAGGAAAAGGCAGCACCCTAAAATGGAAAATGAAGCTTAGCCATCCCGATGCCTTTAACACCCCGTATCCGTTTGGGGCTGTAGGAGCCTTTGAGAGCTCAGTATGTTTAGTGGGTTCAATCCCCTCTGAACCAGCGGCTGTATAATGCAGGTTTCATGAAAAAAAGAACGAACATCATGGTTCTTTCAAAGCAACTGTCAGCTCTGAACTGAAACGACCCCACCTACTGAACACTGAAACCAAAAACCCGTGAAACCTACACCCGTAGGCGCCATGCCCTCTACCGTACGATCGCCAGCCTTGAATTTCGGCAAGCTATGTTTTTGTGTATCTACTCATGCTTTCCTAAACCACAACCCGAGGATACAACCTACGTATAGAGTATCTCGAAATCCCGAACCCTGAAGCCCTGACAATTCGGATGTAAACCCCAAACACCCAAACCCTGGACTTGAACCCCTGAACGCGCAGCCCCCAAAACAAGAACTCTTGAGCCCAAACGAGTTTCCGAGCTTTCGTAGTAGAACGAATTTGCCTTGAAGTACATCACTGGTCAGGGCTCCTCACATTCAAAACCCCTAAAACACTGAGACCCCTAAACAGCCCTCCTAACCCTAAAACCTCAAATGGGCACCCCTAAACCCTAAAGCCCTAAAGCCCTATTCAGGTCCCCTGAAACCCGATCTCAGAAGGAGCCTCAGGCCCGGAATCGGCTTGCACGGGTGGTCCCAGTCAGCATACCTGAGGTGGTCTTAGGATTCAGGGGTTTAGGGGTTGAGGGGTTTAGGGGTTTTAATGGTTTAGGCGTTTTGGGGTTTAAGGGTTTAGGGGTCTTAATGGGTTTAAGGGTTTAATTCAGGATTTAGGGGTTTAAGGGTTTAGGGGTTGAGGGGTTCAAGGGTTGCGGGGTATAGGGGTTTAGGGGGTTTAGGGGATTTAGGACTTAGGGCTGAGAGCTGTCAACCCTAAACCTCACAGCCAAACCTTCAACCACTGAAAAACCTCGAGTTCGACTAGGGTTTGGGAGACATGTGATGCCATGATTATATCCGGGAGCCCTCAGGAGTTCTGTTGCTCACCTTCAGGCCTCTCTAGCAGGGTTCTTATCCAAAGTCTCTTCGAGCCACGGATTTTGTTCTCGACTAGACGTATAATAAGGGGCCCTGGGGTATGATCTTGGTACATAACACAAGCTTCCATAGCAACTCCGAAGATGCCCTCGACAGACGTTCACCATGCGGGTTTGGGCACAGGGCCTTGCTTCCCGGATAAGAGGAACGACAGCTAATATCCCCTGCCTATAGTTGTTTCATGTCAAGACGACTATGCTACTTGAACTCTACGCTCCACAAAGAATCGTTAAGCTTGAAGGCTGTAAGAGACATGAACCAGCAGAAAGCCTTGGTGTCGGATTCAGGCCAGAGAGCTTTAAGGAAAGTGCCGGATACAACTGTTCTGGCGAGGCCGCAAACAGTTTCCCGATATTAAGAAACTGCCAGGGTTGTAGTAACCCGTGTAGCCGCACGGCAAACCTATAAGACTTTTGCGCAACCTTGTAGCAACCATATAACAACATCTAGTATAGGGGCCTTAAAACATTAGAATAGGGCTCTATACTACAATTACAGGAAGGACCCCCCCAGATGCTATCGGTAACTAATTAGACCCCTATATTAGACGTGGATTAGTCAAGGGTTTTGGAGCGCTGCCGAGATGCTCCGACACGGCGGCCACTGAAAGGACCGGGAGCAGAACCAGGAAGATTTGCAGAAGCTGGCCTTCTGCTTCCCTTTTTGGGGTTTAGGGTTTAGGGCTTTGGGTTTGAAGGGTTTAGGGCTTAGGGTTTACGGCTTACGGCCTAAAGTCTGTGGTGAGGCTTTTGCCGCTTCAGGGTGCGGAGGTCTACACGATGGGCCTTCGGTGCATCCGTTGGAGAGGTTGCGGGGCGTCGGGATTAAATGAAGACCTGACCAAGCAAGTTTTGGCTGTACGACATCTGGGCAATAGTGGGGGCGATGAGAAGAATCTTGGCGGCGGCAGTCGTCGAGTCTTACCTAGCCTAGCAAGAAGGTGCCATGCAACAAACTGTTTTCATGCTTAAGACATGTGCAACTCGACTCCACTAGTAGCCGCCTGGCTCTTAAACTTAAACCCCTCAACCCTAAACCTTCAAACCCAACCTCAGATCTTCCAGCTCCTCCAAAGCCCAAGAAGGGAGAAAGTCTGAGCTCCCTGCACACCATGTTCACGTTCAGGTTTGCCTAAGGTCTCTCTCATGTCGGGCTTTTGGGTTTTGGATTTGGGGTTTAGGATTTGGGCTTAGGGTTTCGGGTTTTGGCGCCTGCGGCATGCGGAAAAGCAACCATAGATAAACAACATCCCAATTTCTTCCAGCACTGACTAAAGGGGCAAGGCTGAGGGATGCTTGAGGCTTACAAGGGAATCGTCTTTGCATGTGCGCCTACCTGTATCCATTCATTTCTCGGTTGACGGACGCAGACCGCAGGGCTTGGCGTCCTTCCCACGGCCACGGTCTGTTTTTGCTGAACCCTGCTTGTACCCTTAACCCTCCCGAAACCTGGAACCCCAAGCTCCAAACCTCAAACGCGAAACCCTAAGCCTGATTCAGAAACCTTGGTCCTATAACCCCCAAATATAGTAGGACCCATATAGGGAACCCCAATAAAGACCCAAGGATTCTGAATCAGGTTCCTACTAACCACCAAGCCCCAAAGCCCCATTCTCTGTCTGTCCAAGGGGCCGGGACAAGCAGGCCGGCGAGGAGAACAGAGAGGGGTGGGAAGTTGGCTGCCAACGCGGCGTCCTACAAGCGTAGCAATGATGCTACACACTTGGAGGGGGGTTGGGGTTGAGGGTTTCGGAGCCTACTATAGGCCTAAATAATTACCTATACTATTTTGGGGGTTCCTCATTATAATTATAGGACATTTGGCACGGGTTGGGGAGCCGCGTCCGAGCCCGAGGGCTTGGGCCGCTTGGGCTTCATGAATACTGCTGCTGCTGCGACTGGGACAACTGCACTAACTACTACGACTACTACGACTACGACTCCTGCATGTACTCCTATTCCACCGCGACGATCACCACGACCACCACGACGACAACTACGACAACGACGACAACGACGACGGCTGTTACCACCACTGCCAGAACAGTGCAGTAGTGTAGTAGTCGTCGTCGTAGCAGTAGCTAGGTTAGTTGTTGTTGCTGCTGCCGTTAATGTTGCCGTTGCAGTTGCGGTGGCAGTTGCTGTTGCCGTTGCTGTTGCTGTCGCTGCTGTATCGTATTTCTATGGAAGCCTATTTTGATCTTGATCTCACACAGCTTTACATCCGAGTCCTGCAGGCCATGATGTCATTTTGCACGATGTTTAGATCTAGAGCGCAGCGGCATCCAGTTGAAAACAGCCCAGCCTCGTCCAGGAGTACCATGAACTCCTCCAAGGTTCACAGCTTGGGGGGGGGGCGGGGGTCAGGGTCTGCGGCGGTTTCCGATGCAGCAGCTGACCGGAAAAAAAGAGGACTAGAGATGCACAACGAAGGAAGAAGGCGCAAAAAGGCCTCCTATGCCGAACCCTTAACGACAGGCTCTGCTCAAATCTAAACCCCAAGCCGTACCTCGAAGCCTTCCCACACTTGCTCCAAAATCCCGGAGCAAACCTTTGTATCGCCGGTTGTTTCGCTCGCAAGACCTGTGTTCATTTGGGAAGGACGTTCTGCATCTTTCCGATGCGACGAATCATCTCCTCTCTGCGGTCGTGCTGGTCTGCATCGAAGCTTTCAGCGACCGCTTCCTCAACCACCTTCTTCAGCTGCGGTCCATTGTCTCGAAGCTGCTGCAGCATCCGATCGAAGAGCTGCTTCCCAGTCAGGTCAATCTCGGGACAACTGTCGTTCACCCACATAGCCAATCTCTCGATGTGAAACCCCCAGAGACGTCCAGGAAACAGAACTTGAACACCTTGACAGCATTCTGAGCTGCTTGATTGTCAGAGAAGAAATCGAAATTCAGCCCTCGATCTACAACACCAGTGTCAAGAGTCGTGTTCATGAAAGCTATGTCTGCTTCGCGCTTCTTCTCTCCTTTTGTTTCTCGTTGCAGCCTGATGCATTTCTTGCCCATGTGTACATATGTCCATCCATCGGTGTCCTTTGGCAGTCGGATGCAAAGAATGTCCCGAAAATCAGCTCGCTGCTGTCGGGTGACATTTTCATTCGTATAGATGTTCAGATCGACGAGAACTTGAGACAAGTTCGTGTGCGAGTAGAGCCAGCTTTGATCGTCGACGCAATCTGCATGTCGCTTCCTCGTGCACTCACTTTGATTGCATGAAGCAGGCATTGTGGGATGCCTTCGTCGGGTGCGGTTATAGTGCTCGCGAGAAATGTGAAGTCACCTTCTGTCAGGTTCTTCACATGCTTGATTCGGTTCGGCGGTGCGAAGTTTTTGAGGCTTCTGCCATAATCATCAAACCCCAGCGGCGATGCGTGCATGGCCAGATGAGTCTGGTGACGCTTCCTTCGCTGCAGCACGTTGTTCCCGAAACCAAAACTAGGGAAGCACTGACCAAAGAATGATCAGACATTCACTACCAAGCCGAGAATGACGCAACTGAGATCAGGGTTTGGGCTGTGGGGCTTGGGCTTCAGGATCTCCAAGGCTTCTCGGCCTTGGAGATCCCAAAACCTACCCAGAAAGTGTGAATCAAAACTGTGGCTTCCCGGGAAGATGTCCGGATTCACGATTTCTCTTCTGGCCAACTAGGATACCCAGTAACCTAAGAATAAAAAGGCCTCTCAGGCACCTAGGACTACAAAAAGGGAATAAGGGCACTACTGGGCATCCTAGGCAACCTTGCATTGTTAGGGCCTTTGGCTCGAACCCGGCAACCCCCTACACCCTAAACTAAAGCCCTGAACCTCTAAACCCCTCCCCTAAACCCCCCAAGCCCCTAAACCGCTAAACCCTCAATGCAACCCGTAAACACCTACACCCCTACCCCCAAGCCCCCAAACCCCTTAGAACCCTTAGCTCTGCGAAACGGCGTCCTCCATCTGCAGCGCCCGGGCCACTGAGCCAACACCATCTGTCAGCTCTGTCATGACAAAGGCCTGAAGGCTTCGTAGGTATCTTTCGGGCTTGGGGGTTTGGGCTTAGGGTTTAGGGTTTAGGGTTTAGGATTTACAGAGGCTTAACGAGGGCGTTAGTTCGGGCTTGGCCCGAACATTCTGAAAACAAGGGAAGTTTGTCTCGTAGGTGGAGGGGACTCGAGACGGGCTCAGGCTTGAGGTTTGCAGATTTGTTTGCAGATTTCGGGCCCAAGGGCTGTTTAGGGCTTGGGGCTTGCATCTCGGATTTGCTATGAAAATACGTTTTTCTGGAAAGCACCCGTTTAAGAGAAATAGAAGAGGACTCACCGGATAGTCAGTCGAGAATATTCTCTAGTTGGGACCCTATGGCTCTAGGCAGCAAGTTCGCAGATCTGGCTTTCAGGCTTTGTGGCTGAGAGTTGGTTCTTCTTTCAGGATGTTGGATATCCTCAATGGCACTGCCGGCGAACAGCTTCAAGTAGCCGCGTCTGCTCACTTGCAAAGCAAACCGAGATTCCCACAAAGATCCCATTCAACCCTTCGGAAAGCCCGCGCGTTTTTTGTCTAAGCCCTCAGCAAGCATGCCCGTAAACTCTTTGAAGAAGCCTGCCTAGAAAAGGATTCACAAGCCCTTTCAATCCAAGACACAGAGATGCCAAACTTGTTCTTTGAGCTGCTCAAGTGGCCACTGACTTGGTCTTGTGCTTCAGTTCGAGTTTTGGGGTTGCTCAGGCTCTGATGTTGTAAAACCTGGGACACTCAACCCTTTACCAGGAGCCCTAAACCGTTGGGTGCAAGGCATCGGAGCAGAAAGTGTGATTCAAGTTGGACCAAAAGTACCGTGCAGTTGCTTTGTATCTGCTCCGAGCCTTCAACCTAAACTCTAAGCCCCTGAACTACGACGTCTTGCAACTTCTGGGCAGGTCCGCCTTGGCTTTGTCAGTGAGTGAAGTCACCTTGTCCGTGATGATGCTCTTCACCTCCGTCAGCTTACAATCTCAGGATTTGGCTTGGGAAGGGTTATGGGGCAGGGTTCAGAGCTTAGGGCTCAAGAATTGAAATTGGGTTTCGGGGTACATTATAGTATAGTTATGTTAGGCACTAGAAGGCGCTAGTGTTACTGGTTATTCCGACCCCTATACTTGGTCTTAGAACTTCAGGCTTAGGGCGTAGGATCTGGGTTTTAGGACGATAGGACGAGGCTATGAGGGTGGTGAAGAACAGGATGTGGGTTCAAGACAAAGATATCTTATTATCACCTCTCGGCCCATTGAGATCCAGACTTGGAAGAACTGCGGACAATCATCGATCACATTGTATGCACTGACATAGGAACCTCAAGAATCGGTAGCTGATCACGTCCTATCCGACACCCTAAAACCGAAAGCTCCGGGCCGCTCCCATAAGACGACCCCCCTTCAACGCCCTCCCATAAAGCCCTCCAAGTAATGTAGGGGCCTCAATAGTTAGAATGGGGTCTGGGGGTATATTATACCGTGATTATACTAAGGAACCCCTAAAATAGTATTGGTAGCTGTTAAGGCCTCCTATACTACACCCTTAGAGTAGCCCGTTTAGTAACCCTAAAGACCCTTAAAAGGAACCCTATTAAGGCTTTTTATATTAATCTGGTAATTATTTAAGCCCCTTCTTTAAGCCGGCGCAGGGGCGCCTGGACACCTTTGGCGGCCTTTGGTCCCAGGCTCTGCATGGCACGCTGCAGCATCAGCTGCACCACGTCCTGTACAAAAATATAGGATACATTATGGTATAGTATCATTATGGTATAGTATTATTATAGTATAGTATTATTATAGTATAGTACTAGTATAGTATAGTAATATTATAGTATAGTACTATTATAGTATAGTACTATTATAGTATAGTACTGTTATAGTATTACTACAGTATAGTATTATTATAGTGTCTAAGGCTTGGGGCTTAGGGTTTAGGGCTAAGGGTTTGGGGCTTAGGGCGCAGGAATAGCAAGAGCCGGATGCTCAATGAATGGTCGAGCGCGCGTCCTCGTAGTCCTCCAAGGACGTCTCACGCGCCTGCGACAGGCGTTGGCGCTTCGCAGGGAGCTCGGGGGTACTTGGAGGATCATGGGACTTAGTAAGTAAGGATATAAGCACCCTAATTGGAGTTATAAGTATAGTTACCTTATTTATAACCCTAGTTACTAAGTCCCATGATCCTCCAAGCATGTTTCCCTGGCTTCAGCTTTTGGTTTTGTGCAAAAAGGTTCAGGTCTCCTGGGTTCCGGATTGAGACTCTGGGGCTTTGGGACTCTGGCTGCAGGAGTTTTTGAAGCTTAAGGTTTAGGGTTTAGGGTTTAGGGGTTAGGGTTTAGGGTTTAGGGTTTAGGGTTTAGGGTTTAGGAGGCTTTTTGGAAGTTTTGATTAAGCGGTTCAATATTAAGATGTAAGTCGCAGGTGGAGGTGCGTGTTTTGGTAACCTCTTGAGGCTGCGATACTGGAAAGCAGTCGAACGAGTACTCGGGCTTATACTTCGTGCACACTGGACTTCAGCATGTGGTGCACATGCACAGTATCTCGGTGATGATGACAAAATGGACACAAAGACACAAAGTATACAATCTTCGAGTGTGCTTTACTCTGCTTCCTTCAACATGCATAAATCCTAAGGGGGTACCCTACCCCACCCAAAAAAGCAGATGTAGCTGAAAAGGCTGGCAGGACAGCCAAGACCAAACAGTAGACGACGGACTGCGCCGCTGCAGCACTGCCCCAAGTTTGAAACCCCTATTGTCGGGAAATCCCGAAGAGCCCATGCCCTAACAAGTAGCCCTACAACCCTATTCCTCAAAGCCCCCAACGCCTGAAGCCCTGTATGGAACCCTTGCACCCTTCTAGAGAACCGCCTGGCACCATCATAAAACCCTTCTGGGAACCCTCAAACCCTCTTCCTCGAGACGCCCCCCCAAAAAAAGGCCCAGCGAAGCCCCGACCTCCACGGGCTTGACGGCCTCTGCCTTGAGTCTAAGTCTCGGGCTTAAGAGAAAAACCCGTGAGGCTTCAGGTTCCTTTATTTCCGCTTGGGGTGGGGTTCGGGGTTCAGGAACTGGAGGCTTCTGGGCTTTGGGCTTCGGGGCTTTGGGGCTCATGCTTCTGCAGGGCTCGGCTCCCTAACACCCTAAACCAAGCAGAACAGCTTTCTGGAACCAGGATCCCCATGGCTTGTAAGCTCCGGCTTAGTCTTGGGGCTCCAGGAAGCTTGGAGCTGGGTGGGTTCGAAGGCTTATGGCCTTGGTATCAAGGTTACCCTTGAAGCTTTGGGTTTCGAGCTTGAGGTTTCAAGGTTGACTGGTGTGCCACGGTGAAGGAGGGTTTGACGTCCATGGGACACGAGGCTAGCTTGCGCTATGGGGCACTACCTTCTTGCATCATGTGACAGACAGCCGAGTTGTGGTGTCCAGCCGGTCTTATTTGAACACGGCCAAGCGTTTGTCTGTCCTATCCCTGTCCGTCATGCTACAGTCGATGATATTACCGTTCATTTGTGCAGGTGCCACTGCGTTCACCTTCATTCACATGTATTTGGTTACAGCTGTGTTGCACTACGCTTCACTACCCGACATCACATCTTAGCACATTATATCCTGTTGGACTAGACTATACTATGCAAAGACGCTGCGAAACGACACAGAAGTCAGGCTACCTTGTGTCACGCTGCGCTACATTGTACCGCAAATCCTACCGCAGGCCAGGACATCGTGTTGTAGCCTTCTGAAACCGGAGTGCATGTCAATGTAACGTTTAACCATGCTTAACCCTTTGGAGCCAAAATCCCAAATCCCTGCCCAAATCCCTCTATCTCCAAACCCTGAACCTAAAACCATGCTGTCGGAGTCAAGTAGGGCTGACTCTGAAAGACTCTGGAATCTGCACTCCTTGGTGATAGACCACTAAATGCCAAAAAAACAGCCCCTCAACCCATACCAAGCCCTGAACCCTGCACTCTAAACCCTAGGCCCTAAACCCTAGTGCCCCAAAGCCGAACCCGAGACTCAAAGCCCCCACCCCTCGCGCTAAGCCCCCACCTCCTCTGCAGAAGTCTCTGCCTCGGCCTCGACCTCCTTCTCAGACCTGCAGGCTCAACGCTTCTTTCAACATGTGGGAGTTGCCGGGGGCTTTGGCTTCTGGGTATAGGCTTTAGAAGTGACTTTGTCCAGGTCCAAGGTTTATACAGCCAAGCGCACGCATCATGGCGGTGATAAGGCCTCCGAAGGCAGAGTAAACCCTAAACCCTCCGACATGAATCGCTCGCCTAAACATCCGAAACCCAAACGGCAGTGTAGTTTTGTATGAGCATAAACTACACACCCAAAACCCTAACAAGGAGCCTGCTCGATGGGGTGGAGGTCCAGAAGAACAGCAGCGAGGCCGCCAGGGCAATGCTGCCTTGGGTCAAAGGGGAAAAGGAGTGACCTTTAATGGGGACCCTTTAACGGGATCTATAGGGATTCTATAAGGGTATAGGGTTTAGGGGTTTAGGGGTTTAGGGGGTTAAGGGGGTTTAGGGGAAAAGGAGGGACCCTTAATGGGGACCCCTGGCACCCCATAATGGGCTACATAATGCGTGTGTAATAGCTATATTAAGGGTACATACCTAGGGGTCCTTATTAAGGGTCCCTCCTTTTACCCTTGGATTGGGACTATCAGAGGTGCTAGTGTACATATACACATGTATGTATGTATATATATATATATATATATATACTTGCTTGCTCTCTCTCTCTCTCTCTTTCTCTTTCTCTCTCTCTCTCTCTCTGTCTCTCTCTCTCTCTCTCTCTCTCTCTCTCTCTCTCTCTCTCTCTCTCTCTCTCTCTCTCTCTCTCTCTCTCTCTCTCTCTCTCTCTCTCTCTTCATAAAACTAGATATATCTCAGTAAAGTGGACTAGCCGTCAGCATCGAGATGGTAGTGGTATGACCAGCCGCGGACTGCCGGGCAGTGCTGCGGGGATGTGGTGGAGTTGGGACATGAGCGTGAAGGGATTTAATGGTTAAACCGCTCACGGTTTACGAAGGTGTACCAGTCTGCTTACGACTTGGGGTTTCCGGCTCAGCTTTGCATGTTGGAGCTGGGCTGGAGGGTCTGGAATTCTTGGGGCCAAGTGGGCGTTCGATGCTTTAAGGGGGGATGGAGAGGACTTGCGAGAGCTCATCATGGCAATGATCACCATGACGAGGAAAACTGACCGAGAATAGGAGCACAACAGGAGCAGTAATGAGAAGAACAGGAACAGAAAGAATAAAGACCTTCTCAGCTCTCATGGAAATAGCAGTGGCATTGCTGAGAATCAGAGCTGAAAAGACTGCTTCAGTGCTAAGTGTGGCGCAGAGGCTGGCAACAATGTACAGCTGCGTGCGGACAGTGTCGGAAGCCTGCTGTCAAGGCTTCCAATTCCAAAAAAAGAAAGCCTTCAGATTGCAGAAAAAACACGAAAACCCTGCAAAACCCCATGAAACCACATGGATCCCCTGTGGGTCTCAGTTTAGATTTAGTTTAGGGTTCAGTCTCGTGCTCAGGAAAATATTCTTTCAGGCCTAGAGGCATAAGTGGAGCTTCTTCAGATTACTTGTAGCTGCACTGGACCACTTGAATTCCGCGCATACGAAGTCATCCAATGTTTCTGGAGCTTGCCGGGTACATGCCACAGCCTCATCCATCTAACTAAATGGCTGCGGGCTGCAGTAAGCAGATTGTACGTCGCAGTATGGCTTGCGAAACTTCACGGAGACGTGTGACTCTTTCCCGCGCATACGCTGGGATACCCTCGGCTCAATTTCTGGTAAGAGCCCTGGGGTGCAAGTCGTTATTGCACCTTGTAGTCCGGAGTTGCAACGTCCTGCAGCCCGAACGGTTTAGGGTACAGCGCATTTCTCGGGGGTGTGGGTTTTCGGGCATTTCGGGCGTTCTCCGAACTCTTAAAAGCTTGATTGTCGGAAGGCAGATTCTGTCAGTCCCTGTTTCAATCACTTCTTGAAGGTATGTTCTGAAACTCACCACTTGAAGGCTGTCAAGGTTTGAGGCTTTAGATCCAGGGTGAGCACTGAACCCGGGGAAGATCCGCCCAAGACCCCTAGCAGCTGAAGCCCGATACTTCGGATAATCGCGAGCTCTCCAAAACTGCTGTCCCCTGCCTAGAACTCCTTGCATCCTACCGAACCTTCTGAAGCCCACAATACTTATACTGCTGGCAATGAAAACGTAGTAGTTGCGGCACTGAGTAGTGGTGACGAAGGTCGTCGTCGCAGGTACCACTGGAGCAACAGAACAGCAACTACGGTATAGCAGCAGCACTCCTGACGGAAATCATGACTGCACGAGGCACAATAGCCCCGGCGACTACAACACTCTTAGTGCCTCATACTCACAACAACCACAAACGCATGATGTAGCGCGTCGCTTCACGCCTGCAGTCCTGCACTTTCAGCCCCCAGCGACCTTATGTCCGCAAAATCCCAATCCCAGAAACGTGTAGTTACCACAAACAAATTTAACAACACCCACGTGAACCTGAACCCAGAATCGGGAATCCCAGTGTTTAAACCCAAGTTGCAAAATCCTGGGTCCTTCGCTAGAAACTGCTCATGTCCCATATTTAGCGCTGCCTGGGCCATCGCAGGACTTTGGGCTGTCGGCTTGGAGGGAATTAGACCTTGCGGTTTTAGCAAGGGTCCTGACACAAGCCGATTTGGGCCGTACGCAAGCCTCTCATAACTTCCCGAGCAGTGTAGTTTCAACGAGCTTTCGGGTCATCTCCAGTTGCTGTTTGTGCTGGGCTTTCTGGGGCGCAGAGATGGCGCACAGGGTGCCGGGAATCGAGAGGTTTGGGCTTGGGGTTTAGAGCTGGGGATTGGAGGTTTGTTCCAGGGTTTGGAGGTTGGGCTTCAGGATTTGGCGGATCAGGGAGGCAAGGGATTACGTGTCGTCGGGCCTGGTGTTCTGCAGTGCCGGTTCCTGGGTGTTTTGGGCAACAGCTGGTATGCACAGCGTTTTTCGCGCAAAGACAATTTGGGGGCCACCGTGGGTCAGCTATGGGTCTGCTGAAGTGCAACTCTGTCCGCATTAAGGACAGGTACCCTAAACCCAAAACCCTCAAGCCTAAATCCTAAACGCTAAAGCCTATCGATCCGGGCACCCCCACCGCTGGCACTGCCAGTGCGAGAAACAGCAAGGAAGCCGACATGATGACCTGGGAGGGTTGTAGGTTGTGGGTTTAGGGTTTAGGGTTAGGATTTAGGTGTAAGGTAACTATACCTATCATTACTCACAACCCCAATGTAAGTATTTACGACCGATAAGGGGATGCAAGCCGGAGGGTCTGAGGATTGGGACCTTGACTTAGCCTTTATTGAAGGACTTACATTCATGTTTGGTCTGTCGTTTCTCTTTCCTGCTCAAACATGCTTCTGGCTGCACGCACCACCGCGGTCGGCAGGGCTAGCATCTGGGTAGCGGCCCCGACAATGCCGAACTCAACTCAGAAACAAACGGAAATATCGTCTTGTTACAAGAAGAAGAAACACAAGGTTGCTCAAGATCCAGTCGAACACCTGGTAGCGTTACTTCGAACCTGAACTCTCCACACTTAGGCATCCAGCGTTCTAGGGGCTGTGAGGTGGAGTCCGCGAAGTCCGCAATCCGTTCAGAAGCACGGGCCCTCGACCCTGCACCTTTGGCTAATGCCTGCATCCATTGAGGGCCAAGCAGATGTCGGTTGCTGGGCAAAGGGGTCACCACACTGTGACGCTTCAATTGGGACGGGTAGCTGAAACAGCTGCAGACAAGGCTCCAATCAAAATTCGTGGCACGTCACCGCGGGCTTGCTCAGCAGAAGGATTTCACAAAACACGATTACCAGCATCCGGGCGCCGGACCCGAAACACAATGATTCCGAGTTCAGGGTTGACATGCACAAGAAAACCCGGAACCCTCCGCCCTAAGCGCCCGAGCCTCGAAATCCAATTCAAAGCTCCCTCCATCTCCCTTCCAAACCCTCCCTGAGCACTGCTTCATGCTTTGGATGTAGAGTTGAGCGCTCTTGCACGAACCCTAAATAGACTCCGGTTGAAAGTATATATGCCCCACTCCAACATCCGCATCCTGTTGCCAGCGAAGCCCCACTCCGTTCTGGCATTGTGCAAGCAGTCAGCACACTGCAAGAACTAGCGCAGAGAGCCCTAGCCACACTCACTACTCTCGACCGAAGGTTTCTGAAAACTCGGGGTCTTCGTATCTCTTTGGCGGGCCGCCTTATGCTGGCTGCGACTCTTCTTGGGATCTTTTTTGGGAAGATCCTCATTCTTGGAAACTCCCAGGTCGAGCCTACTAAGGTTTCGGGTCTGAGGTGTAGCCTTTGGAGGTCACAACCGAGACAGTAGTTGGTGAGGAGCAGTAGGTGTCGTGGTCGTCCTAGCCATCGTCGGAGTCATAGGAGTCGTGGCACTTGTACTAATCATATTATGGCGGTTGGGGTGCAGTCGAAATCAACTCGAGATTCCGTTCACGGATGCCGGATCACTGGACGAAGTCGCTGCCTCAAGAACGCAGCAGGATGGGCCACCCAAGGGATGAGAATCCAGACAGCCACCAAGGGGTCAAACCCTCTCCTGAATCAGAGCAAGACCGTCACAAACTGTCAGTGCTGCTTACCACAAAAGGTACCAGCCCTGGGACCCTAAAATCGGATGTCCCAAACCTTCAACCTCTAAGTTCCTCTTCGCGAAGCTCAAGCCTCAGGCCTTCTTGTGGAGCTCGCAGATGTGCTCCTCAACCGTGTCTTTGGTGATGAAGCGCCAGACGCTGATGCTCTCCTTCGACCTCGGGTCTCGGAGCTCGGTTGCCAGAAAGCCTTTTCCAACTTATGAAGGCCCCTCATAAGTTTCTATGCATCTTCCCGGCATCGTACAGGCCTCGGGATGCTTCGAGCAGCTTTTGGAACCCAGGTTGCTCGGTAACTGCAAACCCCGAAGCCGAAAAAAACCCGAAGCATCCCTAAGCCCTGAGAAGGCCCCCCCCCCCCCACCGCCGCTGCAGTCCAGGGGCTGGCCGATCCTCCTGACACGGCCCAGCGCCTGCCGCTCGTAGGCCGTGGCAGTCTCGATGCTCTCGGCATTCCTTCGCTGTCTTGCGGCTAAGTCTTAAGTCTTAAGAGCTTAACATGAGAAATGAGAAATGTTCCTGTTCTCTTCAAGATGCCTGCACACCGGACAGAAGAGCAAGTCTGCAAGAGCAACTCTGTAAGAGCGAAGCCGAGGCTCATGGGATGGACGAAGAGGACGTGGCTGGCCGCCGTCAGGTTGGTGCCGGAGGCCGCACGCTGCAGCGAGAGCACCAAAGCCAAGGGAGCATCAGGGCCGGACTCCTCGTAGAACCCCAAAAAGAACTAAAGAACCATTCGCTCAAGCTGCCCTTGCGGTATGGTGAAGAGTTAGGAGTTAGCACCCAAAGACTGTGCGAGGAATCCAAGCTCTGCTTTGCGGATTCTCAGGGGCCTCCTGGAAGCGTCGCAGCACCTCGCCGTCCTGCAGTTCGAGCTGCTTGCGCTTGCGCACATTTACCAGGAGGTTGGAGAGGTGCAGGAATTTGACGCCGTGGTCCTGCGACTGGCAATGGATGTCAACGCAAGTGCAGCTTCGTTTTGCAGTAGCGACACGATCTCCCGCAGACGCAGTAGCAGGTGGGGTCGTTGTGGCAGTAGTCGTCGTCGTACTCTTAGTCCTAGGTCCTACTTCCAGTCGTTGTCGTAGTAACAGTAGCAGTAGCAGTAGCAGTAGCAGTAGCAGTGGCAGTAGCAGAAGCAGTAGCAGTAGGAGTGGGAGGAGGAGTAGGAGAAGCAGTAGCAGTAGCAGTAGCAGTAGTAGCAGTAGTAGTAGTAGTAGTAGTAGTAGTACTAGTAGTAGTAGTAGTAGTAGTAGTAGTAGTAGTAGTAGTAGTAGTAGTAGTAGTAGTAGTAGTAGTAGTAGTAGCAGTAGCAGTAGCAGTAGCAGTAGCAGTAGCAGTAGCAGTAGCAGTAGCAGTAGCAGTAGCAGTAGCAGTAGCAGTAGCAGTAGCAGTAGCAGTAGCAGTAGCAGTAGCAGTATGTAGTAGTAGCAGCATACTGCTTACGGCTGGCATGAGCATGGTTCTGTCCCTTGTTCTGACATGTCCTGCAAAGCCCGACACACCTTGGCTTCCAGATCAGCCCACTGCACGAAGACGAGGGCCTTGGCAGTGGGGTCGCTCTGGCGGATCTCCTTCAAGGCTCAAGTTGATGAGGGGCTGAAGCCTTGAAGAGTTGAGGTGTCAGAAGGGGCTTCGGGTCAACGCTTTCAGGCTTAGGGGTAAAGCAGAGGGCGTAGAGGTTTGCGACGTCTCCTTGAGCTTGGCGGCCACTGCGTTGAGCTTGGACCCGTGGCGCTTCCAGGCTCTGCTCATGGCTCTTTGGACAGGCTGCGGCTCAGGCTTCTTCAGCTCCATCACCACGGAAGAGATCTGCGAAGCCTGCAGAGGAGCTCGGCACTCTGGGCAGTTCGGGATCCTCGCCAAGACGTCTCTGACGCAGTGCATGTGAAATACATGCGAGCAGGGAAGGATCGCTGCAGTGGACAGGTCGCTGATGGGCTCCAAGCAGATGGAGCACTCTCGCTCCGCCGTCTCCGAGCTTTGCAGCTGCCCCAGCTGCTGCTCATAGAACTGCAAACTGCGCTTGGCCTTGTCCAAGAGGCTCACAAGCTCCAGAACGCCTTTGGCGAAGGCTGTTCTCAGCTGCTTCGGAGTCGCATCGTTGCACTTACAGGTGGCCAGGTCGCACAAGGCGTCATCAGCCTCTCCGTGCTGTGCCTTGCGGGCGACGGAGTGCACGACCAAGTGGCGCTGGCTGTCGTCCGCGAAGTACTCGGACTCGGGCACGGGCTGCTGGAGGCACGCCAGGGGCCGAAGGCGCAGCTCACCGTCCACTGTCATCGAGGTCACAGAAAGACGCAAAGCCATCTGTAAAGCTGCGGCTTCTGGCGCCCGGTTGCCGGAGGAGTCGACGTCTCGGACCATCTTCGCCTGGAGCTCTCCCGCCGTCATGGCAAGGAGCGGCTCCACCACGCTCTTGACCTGGGAGGTCACATATTCGTCGTAGTGTTACTGTTTCGTAGTATTATTGAACATCATGATCAGCATCATCATCATGATATTCAGCCTAGCTCACAAGCCCACAAAGACAGAGCCTCTGCATGAAGCGATTGAAGCCGTGCTGTCAGCTGAGCTTTGAGCTCCTGGATTCGAGAGCTGTGCAGAGAAAACGCTGTGGCAGGAATGGCAACAACTTGCAGAAGAGGAATCGCCACAACAAGATGACGAATAACAACAACAACAACAACAACAACAACAAGAACAACCGCACGTGTCGGAATCCGTCGCGCGTTGTTTGTGCAAATACGCGTTTCGCCACAGCGGGAGCGCATTCTAAGACTGAAAACGAGGTCTCAAAACAAATGCTGTTTTCAGAGCTAGTTTTGTGAAAACCATGGCATGCGTGGCACTTTGCTAGATTCGGCGTCGTACTTTTTTGGCTTCTCTGTCGTGTGGTTGAAAGGCCGAAAACACCGCGCACAACGAGGTTTTCGTGATGTCAACACTCAAAAATGCGATTTTGCCGTTTACCCCCAATGATTGTGTTTTTCTTGTACCTGGTTTCAACGAATTTTTCAACCGCGGATGTGGCAGCAAAGAGAGCTGCATCGGATCATCTTCGTGAGATGTGCCTATCGCAGGAAAACGCATCGGATGAACTTCGTCAGATTTGAGAGATTCATCTGAGTTGAGTGGAAGATAGGATAGATTGGAATCAGGATGAAAACATTGGGAGTTCGTATTGATTGAGGAGGACTGGTGAAGTTTGGTCGCGAAAGCTGCATCAGATCATCTTCGTGTGATGCGCCCATCGCAGGGAACCGCATCGGATCAACTTCGTCAGATTTGAGAGGTTCATCGGAGTTGAACTCCCATATGGAGCCAGCAGCGGAGAGGCGGCTGCACAACTGCGCACAGGAGGCTTTGGCCTTTCACTCTTACGCAGCACGGATGTTATTAACCCCCACCCCCCACCCCCCACCCCACCCCCCCTCCCCAAGACAAGTCCGAATCCTCAGAAATGCATGAAAACGCACGACAATTAACGATCCGTTAGCAAGAACAACAACAAATGTAGTCAAGACAGAATTTGAAGATGACGCGGAACAGCATAACCGGAACTGCACCACCACCACGACCTCGACCATCACGACGGCCCACGCCTACTGCTGCAACTGCTTGCAATAACGAGCACTGCTTTTGCTACTCCTAGCACGGCTGATTCGTCACGATTCCAGTCGTACTTGCAAAAAGTTTAGCTGGCCTTGGCCTTGGACCGGCATGCCTTTCGTATCAGTATCAGTATCAGTATCAGTTCCATTTTATTTGCGGCGGTATTGTTCCCAAGAGTGATCCTGCTACGTGCTGAATCCTGAATCAAAACAAAAACTTCATCCAAAAGCCACACCAACACCTCGAACCCTACCTAGGACCTGCCCGTCCTGCGTCCAGCACCCGAAGGCGCTGGCTCGAGCGAGCTCGAGGTGCAGCTGCGCCTGCCCACTTCAGTGCTTTTCTTTCTGAGCTATAGGGGGCCCTAATATAGTACCCTGAATAGTAGGATCCTTATAATAAGGTACCCCGAATTTTCCGAAACTCCCAGCAGGTCCGGCAACTTGGCACGAGAAATTCTTCATCGGCACTAACACTACCTGGAAGTCCCGACAGGTTCACTCGCACTCATAAGAGCCCCCTGCTGTGCTTTTGATTCTTGGTGCAAGGTCTTCGCTGGGCTTCGGGGCTGGGCCGTCGGAGAAAGAAAGAGGGCCTTATGGCATCTTCAAAAAGTCCTCCATCACAATGCGACGTCCATCCGAGAAGCCCAAAACCCTGAATCCCCCTGCACCTCCACCCGTAAGAGCCAACTCCTCTTGCTCTGGCCCAGCTGCTGCACTGCCGAGTCTGCAGAATCGGCCTACATTGCTTGGAGCATGGGTCAGAGCATCCTTGAAACTATGAGAAATGAGTAGCTTTAGACTGGTGGCGGGATCAAAATCACCGTCATCATCATCATCAGCAGCATGGTCATCATCTTTGTCTTTCCCATCATCATCATGCCGTCATGGCCGACGTCACAGGTAGGACAGTGGTGGCAAGTCGTTGCGATCTACCTCATGGTTTTCAAAGGGGCCAACCTTACCCATCAAAGTCTACCCAACAATGACGAGATACTCGCGACAGTAATATCACCGCGAGCCTGTGATGTTCCGAATCCCCGTGCTATGATGAAGGACGCATCGAGAACTCGTCAAAACGCTATTTAAAACTCTGGGCTTTTTGTCTAACATGCGGCCATGCCAGGAGCCTTTCATGCCTTGAACTGGTCTATGCTTTCAGAAACCTTCCCCTTCCTTTTCCTCTAAACCCGCTGCAAGTTTGCTGCCCCGTACCTGTTGCCCTGGACACCCTCAGAGAAACGAAACCTTAGGACCTGGACCGCGGTTCCCACCTTTCCCATGTCAAAGTGGGCGCAGCGCTTGATCAACTCTTTTCGAGCCTAACCAATTCGATGTCGATCTTCATCATCGTAGCAATACCAACAGTATAATAACACTTGCCAATCGAAATCACGATACTAAGAACGAGAGGATGCAGACACTTAATGGAGCATGGTGACTCGATTAGAAGACAGGCATAATTAGGATAACACCAAATGACAACCTGAGATGGCCATGGGGCGGCTACACACCATGACCACCCAAGACAGCTCCATAACAACTGGGAGCTACGGCTCTACGGTCTTTATGGGGGTTGCAAGGGATTTCTATTCTGAGTGTTGTCGGGGTCCAAGTCTTCAGCGCTTCCAAGCTCAGATTTGCCAAATTTGGAGGTACGTTATACGATAATCATAAGAGTCGAACCCAAACAAAGAATATTTGGCGAATATTCAGACTTCTAGATTAGGTGTCACCGTTGAAAGTGTCGGAGTGTAGGGTTTGGGTGTGTAAGTTTCTGCGGACACGGTGAAAAGATACAGTGGGCTTTGTTTAGGATTTGTTTTGGTTTTCTACAGGGTTTTCGTGCAGATGTGCGTAGATCACAGCAAACGGCAGGCCTCCTCTGGTTTGGCTACATCACAACGACATTCTAATTGTCTGCGTGCCTCTAAGGAGATGTGCGTGTACCCATCCGACAGGTCGAAGATGCCTCAAGAACGTGGGACTGGGTTTCAGGGATGGGTTGCCGGATAAGGTGCATGTGTTTCATGGCGAGGATCTAAGCTTCAAGAAAAGCAGCATACCGCTACATCAGGCAAGGACAACTCGCATCCCATTATGCAAGCAATGAAAAGGATGCAAGATGGGTGCATCATGGTGCATCAGCGGCAGTGCCTGCTGCAAGAGCCCAATTTGTTTTACAAGCACTTGAAAAACCAAGACACTCGGAAACAACCCAGGCAGTCTACAAAAACTCTTTGCACTCGCAAATCAAGTCGATTGGTACCAGGCCCCGGAGAAACAATGAACGCTTACAACCCCCTCAGGTCGACTTCCACCTCATCTCGCACGAACTACCGGGCCGAAGTGCCCTGGTCGTGACAGGCTTGGCGGTAGATCAGCCGCTCCTCGTGCGAGTGATCCACCAGCTGCGCGTGTTCCTCTTGGATACAGGGCTCAAGCTTTTCACTGCGGCAACCAAGAATGGAATGGAATGGAATGGAAGTGGCTGGCAGCAGTAGCTGCAGCCGCCCACGCACTTCCCCCCTCACATCGCAGGGCAACTCCGATAACGTCATGGCCGCCCTCCGTGAAGGGTTCGAGAGGGGGTTCTAGCAGCTTCTAGCATAATGCAGACCAAGTTGCCGGGAGAGAAGACGAGGGAGGGAGGCGGAAGGCAGCTCGCACGTAGCAAAAAAAAAAGGGAGCAGGGAACCGCCACCCCGCGAGAAAAGGCCAAGGCAGCAGCCCACCTGAACGTGAGTGAAGGGGCAGGAGCTAAGCAGAAAGGGCCTGGAAGAAGGCGACTGGCATGTAACCAGAAAAGCCGCCGCCCAGCCGCAAGGAGCTAAGGAGCAGCCCCGGGCAGAAGGCGGCTGGCATGTAGCCAGAACAGCCGCCGCCCGTCCGCAAGCACGAGTGAAGGAGCAGGAGCTGAAGAGTAAGGGCCTAGCAGAAGCAGCGTGAGATAAGAGTAACGACGAAAAGGCCACGGGCAGGACAAGCCAATAGCGCACAGAGCCGCGGCCCAAAGAAGGAGAGAAAGCAGGAACGCATCACGACAGGCCAATATGGCATCCAATCGCACACGGAGGCGCAGCCCAAGAAGGAACACGGAGATACGGCCAAAGGCCACGGCGACAACAAAGCAGGCACGCAGCAGAACTGGTCAATAGCGAACAAGGCGCGACTCCACAAAAAAGCCACGCAGAAAAACACAGCAGAAAGGCAGGACGACAGGCCAAAAGCGCACAGAGCCACGGCCCGAAGAAGCAGCACGAGGTAGGAGTAGCGGCCAAAAAGGCCACGCCGAGGACAAAAGAGAGATGACAGGCCAATAACGCACAGAGGCGCAGGCCACAATTCAATGCCAAGAACACAGCAGAAACACACCAGGACAGGCCAATAGCGCACAGGGTTGCGGCCTGAAGGAGGAGAGACAGCGCCAAGCCACGCCGAGGACAAAGCAGGAACGGCCAGGCTGGTAGCACACACAGCCGGAGACGAGAAGGAGAGAGGTCAAAACAAAACGTAAACCACCGTCAAGCCGTAGGACGAGAACGGCCTCGCAGCAGGGAAAGGGCCCAATCATCAGAGCAGGCCAAATCACGCCGCCAGCGGATGCAGGAAGCGATGACGGCCACAACGATAACACGAGAGCGTCAGGTCGAGGTTCGAAAGCAACCAGCCGCATGGAAGCATGAATGGAGCCAGGTAAAGGGAGGGGAAAGGAACAGAGAAGACGAAAGAGCAGAAATGGCACTGTCGCCCCATGGAGGGACTGCGGGCAGCTGGGGGGAGGGTGCTCGTCGGCGGTTGGACCGCCTTAGTGCGGCCTTCTGGGGCCCCCCCAAAGAAAGCCAACCCCAGTCCAGCAGACTCCGTGGGCCCAGAGGGTGCGGCAACCAAGAAAAAGGCAACACTGGAAAGTCTAAACACGGGAAACTCTACTGTAGCAGCAGGAGCTATCGTCGCTGTAGTAGTACCAATGACAATGGCTCTTAAGTGCCAACTTCGGAATTTGGCCTGGGGCAGTGAACTTCGAACTTCCGATGGCTTTTGCAGGTGCCTTGATGCCGATCTTTTCCACGAGGGCCGACGTATTCTGCCGGATGAACTTGGCAACAAACTCCCTGGCCGCCGCTTCAAGCTCTGCTTTATTTTCTGCAAACCAATTGCGATTCCTGACATCGTGCATCTGGCCAAACCGATATGTGGCCTCCGACATCAGATCCTCACCTTCCACTTGGTCCCAGGCGAACCCCAGCAGCGCGGCTATTTGCACGACGACGAGGGCGCTGTCCATCGGGGGCGTTCCAGACAAACCCCACTTGTGCTCGGCAGTCAGGCCCCGAAGCATCTCGCGGACTCTGTATTCCCAAGCTTCGCTTTCGTGGAACTCATCCAAAATCACCCGGCGCCAGGAATTCAACTCGAAAAGCGCTGGGCTTTGGTGTAGAAGCATCCGGAAAGAACGATCATCCTTGCTCCTTTCCTTGACGAAAACTGGCAGCACGGTAATCTTTTTGGCCATTACGGAACAAGCCTGACCTGTGCTGATGGCTGCCTCGGTGACAAACTTGGCATAACGCTGGTCCGAATGGATCCCGGTGGAAGCCAGCACAACATGGAACTGAAGGAGGTCTTGCTGCCGGAGACGGTTCATCTCAGCGCTCTCTCGCACGATGAGCACCTTCAGTGGGCCCTTGCCACGAGTCACTCTGGTGCGCGGCTCTTCCCGGGACTCCAGCTTGAAAGTGATATCGATGACAGACTCGGCAGTGTGCTTGACACCAGCGTAACTGAAAGTACGGGTATTCTTGGGCCGGCGTTGTGGATGGAGAAATTCCTTTACTTTGTCTGCCGCGCTGAGTGTTAAGCTTCGTGCTTTCCTTCCTGGTCCATTCTCCGTGTGAGTGCAACGGATCTTCTTGATGCGATCTCCAACGCACAGCGCCCGAGCCACCTTGCCGTGTGCCCTCAAGGCCGCGTTGATCTTCTCCTCCGTGGAAGCAGTCATGTGTGCTATCGCTGCTCCCTGATCACCATCTCCAGCGAGGCGTATGCCAAACCTGACCCGGTAATGGATTGCTACATGTGGGAAGATACCTTAATAAGGACCCCTAGGTATATACCCTTAATATAGCTATTATATACCCATGATACCGGGCTTGGTGTAGGAGTTCGTGAACCTTCTGCTGAAACCGATCGAGGCTCCGGTAGCCGGAGTCCTCCCGCAAGTCGGCCGAACGAAACTGCAACTTCACCTTCCGGCTGGGCTCATGCATAAACCGCGAGCTATGCATGTAAGAGAAATTAGACCCCCAAAGCATCAACCCCGAACTTCTAAGCCTGAAACCCGTAGACCCTGGATCCCCAAGCCCTGGACAAAGACTTATAGCTGTAGAAAGTTCGAGACTAATGTAGACGAGTTCATACAATCTACAGGCTAGCAAGCTACCAGATAGCTACCAGCTACAGACCGACCGAGCTCTCTCGTTGCAGGCGTTCCTCGCACAGGCACAACTCAGAGAGAGACAGAGAGAGAGAGAGAGTAAGCATCCGACACAGGAAGGAAGAAGAGGGCAGGGACACTACTACTCCGTTTGCTAATCCGTTTTGTCGGAGTGTCAGGACCTGAAAAACCCTTCTCTCCAACTGCGGGCTTTTTGTATGTTTCTTTTCGAGTCTTCGGCGTTAGTGCATATCTCTTTGCCAGCATCGTTCCCTATGTGTTCCCCTCTCTCTCTCTCCCTCTCTCTCCCTGTCTGTCTCTCCCTCTCTCTCTCTCTCTCTCTCTCTCTCTTTCTCGCTCTCTCTCTCTCTCTCTCTCTCTCTCACTCTCTCTCTCTCTCTCTCTCTCTCTCTCTCTCTCTCTCTCTCTCTCTCTCTCTCTCTCTCTCTCTCTCTGTTTTTGACATCACTCCAACGACAAGCTTGAAGTGTAGCTGCTTTCGCCTTGTTTTGCGCCGCATGCACAGAAGGAGCGTCAAAAAACGCATTAAAGTCCTTGCAACAAAGATGTGTACCCCGCAGAACCACACCAAACTGTGGACCTCCCACGCAATTGTGATCCCCAAAAACCTCGAACCCTAAACCCTCGTTCAACCTCCTCGAGGTTGCGCTGGGGGCTCTGAACTTTGGAGAGCTCAACACCGTCACTTCCAAGGAACTTCCAGAACTCCTCTCTGCATGGAGATTTAGGGTGCTGCGATTTTGGCGTTCGGGTATGAAGACGCATGGAGGGTTCAGGGTTTTGACTGTAGGTTGCGGGTCTTGGGGTTAGGTTTTGTTGCGACCCCTGTAGTCTTCCCTGCAGAAGACCTGGTAGGGTTTAGGGTTCAAGGTGTAGCATTTAGGTCTCTGGGTTCAGAGCTTAGGAGGGTTCAAAGTTTCGGAATTTGGGGATGACCGGCTAAGGCAATTTCCGGAACTCCTCCTCCCATTGGTCGATGAGGTGCCTTAACTTTGGAGCTGAGGATACCGTCTTGTGGGATGATGTTAGTTTCGACAGGTTCTGCGCTTTCACTCCACCATCTCGTGTTTTCTGGGGCACCATCCACGCTTTTCAAAGCAAGATTGAATTCTTCTAGGCTTTTTGCACAACTGCAAGAACCCTGTCACAGCTGCAAGCCATGGAACGATGGGCACATGATGAGGGTGCCGCTTGCAGGAATGTAGCCATCTCTTGCTGGGAGCCTCCGTGCTGGTACGCTGCAAGGTCGAACATCCAGGGAGGTCAGGCCGATGGCGATGCCTTGGTTCCCCCAGTCTTCCCACCACGGGAGTCACAGGAGTGAGAGTTTTGTGCTGTTCATTCGTCTTTCGTTCTTGAGGCTCAAAAGATGCAGAGAATCGTCACAATTGAACTTCTTTTCTGAAAGGCTGGCACCGAAGCGCTGGTTTTGCCGAAGCCCATGCGGTCCGCAAGGAGCCCGCCCCGCAGGCTGCCTTGCAGCTTCTCCTGTGACAGCATCCACCCCAAAGACCGCAGCTGCTCTTCACGGAGCGTGTGCTTTGAAAACAGTGGCGGGTTCTCGGCTGCAGGATCGTCGTCGTTGTTGGGAATGCTGAAGGCGCAGTGGGCGGTGTCGAGGCGGCGTCTTTTTTTGCTATCATCGTCGGCCGATGCAAAAACGTCGGGCCTCGCTCGCACGGAAGACGACGAGGAGGCGGCTTGTTCCAGCGCGGCAGGCCGCATTGGCTCCGCCGGCGCATGGCGACAAGCTGATGCAATTGGCCGTCGCACTGTTGGAGTGGCGGCGGCCTCCACTTGGGCTGAGAAGCAAACCAAAATTGACAAAGACACCCACACCTAACCCTCCCGTGGCGTTTCTGGCAGAGCTGGTTTGTGCCCGGAACCCGGGAAACACCCAAGGCTTGCCTCTCGGCGGGACGAGGCAAGTAGGTCGCATACGATCCCCACTGCCGAGGACATGTTGCCAGAACTCCGTTGCAAAGCTTCCCTCGCCACCGCGACGTCGATTCCCAGCCTTGGACAACTTATTATAGAGGCTTGAATAACAATTACCTGTTGTACTATTTGAAGGGTTCCTTCTTATATTTATCGTATAATCGGCATTAATAATAGTTTGAGTTTGCTGCTGACGCTCACCACTCAGACATATGCTTGCAGACCGGGTGCGAGAGGCGAGAGGGACGGAGCTCCAGTGCTTTCCCTGCTACTCAGCCTCTTGCCTCTCCAGGTAAATTTAGAGATGGGTGCAGATCCTAGTGACACTCGTTTCGTAAACACTCTATATATACATATATACATATATACATATATATATATATATATGTGTGTGTATATACAACTGCCACTGGTGAGCAAGTGCCTGGAATCTGTCTGAAACGAGAGAAAGCGCGAGAGAGAGAGAGAGAGAGAGAGAGAGAGAGAAAGATATGAAATACAAAATGGACAGCGAACAGGAAGAATAAGAAAGACAAAGAGATGTCGAGAAAACAAAGGGACAGATATAGACGAAAAGAGATTGACACAGAGACCGAGAGAAGACAGGGATAGAGATATCGAAAAAAACAGGGACAGACATAGAGACGCAGATGGAGATAGATAATGCGACGTTGATATTGACATTGCTACAGATACTGGCATGTCGGAGTCATCGCCAAGAAGCAAACTCGCCAACTCTGCAACCTTCAAGTCGCGCTCCCCATTCTGCTGCATCATGCTGGCCCGAGAAGCAGACTGTTGTACCGCATGGTTTTGAGTCTGGCATAGTCTGGCACTCTCTCCTCCCTTTTCCTCTCGTCCCTAAGGTTCTGAACCTTGAATACCCAACCGCGGTTTGAGCTTCTTAGGAAACTGCCGACACGTGCATGAGGCCTGGCCTAGGAAGAACGGCTTCGAGATGCAAGCTGCATTCAAGTCAAAGCATTTCCCCAAACTGGCGGCTTGTTCTGTGTGGCCCGTCAGCTTTTCTGGAGTCTCCGAGACAACACACATAACTTACAATACAAGCAACAATTTCAGCAGGAATCTTCTTAAACTCTGCAAGATACGACGACTAAGCCCGAGTGATTCTTAGGACTGGGTCAGGGCTTATTGTTTCTCATGCATCTAGGGGGGTAGATTATACGATAGATCTAAGGAGTAGCACAAGTCTTCTTAGGCCTCTGTAGGGGTTGCTTACAAGTAGTGTCTCAGATTATTTGGATAATTATTGGATTTTGGCGCTGTCCAGGGTCTAGACTGAGGGTCTTGGGTTGACAACCACAAGCTTCTATTTCCGTCAGCAGGAGCGAATGGCCGAGTCGCCATGAGAACTCGCCGACTTGCCAAAGAGGCTCAGGCAGAGGTTTTCAAGTTTACGTTTCTGATTTGAAGTTTAGTGCTGAGGATTGGAAGTTGTACAGGTACTTGCCCAGAGCAGAAACCGTGAAAGACAAAAACCGGGATTCCTCCAAATCCTGAAGCCCTGCAGACGACCAACCGAAGCTTTGGGCGCAAATGCGCATCTCTGAGAATCAAACTTACCTTTGGTCAATAGGGAATGAAGGAATGGGGTAAATTATAGCTACTATTACTACCATATTACTACCATATTACTACCATATTACTACCATACTACTACCATATTACTACCATATTACTATCATATTACTATCATATTACTGCCATGTTACTACCATATTACTATCATATTGCTACCAAAGCATTACTATTACTACCATTCTTCCATTCCCTACTAACCAAAGGTAAGCAAAAGCAGCTTCGAGGCTTGCACTGATAAAGCAACGGATGGAAGCTCTGGAGTTGCATGCTGAATGCTGCGGCTTGGTGCTTAAAGTTGCAATGGACACGCACTCTCTGCAGGTTGGCATCACCAGAATAGCAGCAGAATTCTGAGTCTTCGTGCCAGAAGGACCCTAAGTCAGCTGCCGTCCAACCTTGCGAACCTAGACACAAACCAAGCCGAAATCTACGAGCCAAACCACTGCACCTCTGGATCCCTCCCTGTCTCTAAACAAGAAATGAGGATAGCAGAGGTGGGAACAAGCACAGGCAGGTATTCCAGCGCGGTTACCTACGAAAACTAGACTACAACATCCTCCCCCCTCCCCTAAAAGCCCAGTAGATCCCAGTAGTAAAACCTCTGGACTGTGGTTTCCTGGCCTGCCCCGGCTGTGACACACTTTGTACAACTTTGCTGCACTCTTTGAGTGTGCGAGCGGGGGTTTCGGCGCCGGTCGTCTGCGTCAGGAAGGTTGTCGAAATTGATTGGGTCTACATACATACATACATACATATATATCTACATATGTATATATATATATATAGATGTGTATACTAATGTGCGTACATATATGTGTATATGTATGTGTGTGTGTGTGCGTGTATATATATATACATATAGAATTCTTCATTCGTTTATATATCGATGATATCAGGTCGCAAGCTTCGGGGTGGAAGGGCTAAGAACTCGGGGCTCGGGGCTCAGACCGCGGGGATGAGGCTTCAAGGAACGGGGTTGAAAGAGAAGATTAGGGCTTGGGGTTTTTTCCCAAGCCTAAACCCTAAACTTTAACCGTTTCAGGGTTTAGGGTTCTAAACCCAAAGCCCTAAAACGTTTACGAAAGCTTGAGAGCCAGATTTGAGGTCGAAGCCACCAGGAACAAAAGCAGACACCATGCAAGCACCGGAAGAGAACTTAAAGAAGCACAGAGGAAGCAAAGGTCATAAAAATCAAGTCTAAGTGGCGGGCCGGTGCGCAAGTAGAAACAGACCGAACCACAGTTTAGGGTTTAGGGTTTAGGGGCTTGATGGGTGCTAGAGGCGAGTCGCCATGCGAATCCTGTTTTGCAGCATGCGCCTCGCGGAACATCTGCACACAAGTTTGCCCGGGGGACTCGCACATTTGGGTTTGGTGCATTATGGGATTACCTCGGGAGCTGCGGTGGGTGATAGATCATCGTTTCTGGGTCGTTCTGTATGCTTGATAAACTGCTGCCTGCATTTCATTGCCCTTTGCATACCTGCGCCCTTCCCGAGGTACGGTTTTTCCTCCTGCCACTCAGCCGTCGCTTCGTGACTCCCCCCCCTTACAGGCGTACCCACGAATCGCTTCTTGTAAGACTGCAGGTTGCTTGACGGTTTGGCGGTTTCCTCCTGCCGCCTTCCCTTCACTTGCACCGCATGAAGCCTTCCTCAAACCCTAAACCCTAAACCCGGCTGTCCATCGACAACAGGTGTCTCGCGGTCCAGCTCTGAGCGATGCACTTTGGGCAAGTCATCAAGAACCTCCTTTCTGCCTCCCCTTGCCGCGTATGCGCGTCCAGCTTTATGAAGGGACCTAGACCGAATGTCAGGAGCAGAATGAAGTAAGCGAACATAGAAGAACAACTGACCAGCAAACTGGGCAAGATGTACAGAGCAGAGCATTCAGAGCTAAGAAGTCAGAATGCAAAAGGCGGAATGCGAAAGGACGGAAAGACTCTCGAAGCAGAGAAGGAACCCAAAGTGTACGTAATAAGTAATGGGGTATAGTGGGGACTCAAAAGTTCAAACATCCGTCGAGTAATCCGGGAGAGTACCGCCAGTTATGATGAAACCCACATCTGTTCTGATCGCGGAAATGATCAGACTGGACAGGCAACAGACACTCTGCATAATACCAAATGCTCTAGTCGATGACAATGAGAGGAACATACAAACAGGAAAAACCTGATCGACGATACACGTATTGACACCACATAACATCCACAAAACCCTAAAACACGAAGCGACAGGACCAAGAGGCACAACCATGCAGATGGCAGGAGCAGCCGCATGGAAAAGCGAGCTTAGAGCAAGGATGGGGCGAAGAAAGGGGCTTTGATAGTTACCCATACCATGTTTTGGGGGGGATCCTTATTAAAACTATAGTAGAGTATACTCCCTCAAGCCTATTCAATTCAAACACCCTACATCACCTCTCCGTCATTGGATCGCCTTTCCCACGCATGTATCAGCCCTGTCCCTGCGCCAGAGCCCCATCGAGCAGTTGCAGATACTCACGCCGGTGCATGCACCTTGGACTGGGTTTCAACATTTACTTGGAGGATCATGGGACTTAGTAAGTAAGGTTATAAGTACCCTAAAAGGGGTTATAGGTATAGTTACCTTATTTATAACCCTAGTTACTACGTCCCATGATCCTCCAAGTAGTCTCCTTTTCACAAGGAAGCAGGGCTGGTTAAGGGTCTCAGGGTTGGTACCTTTGAAAGAGTGTAGGGTCTGTGGGCAAGCTTCGGGGCTGGAGCGTGGGGTCTTGGGGCCACGGCAGTATCATCTTACACAAACTTCATCAACCCTAAACCCTAAACCCTAAACCCTAAACCCTAAACCCTAAACCCTAAACCCTACACAAACTTCATCAAGCCGCATAAGGCTCTTTGCTTCGTCCCCCAGGGCACGCCTGCACCAGCCCCAAGGGCTGGTAAAGCCCCGAAGCCCCGAATCCGAGAGTGTGAAGCAAAAGCGCGGAAGCGGAACGCCCAAACCCAAATCCGGTTTAGGGTTTAGGGCTTTGGGTTTAGGATTTAGGGTTTAGGGTTTAGGGCTTTGGGTTTAGGGCTTTGGGTTTAGGGTTTAAGGTTGAGGGTTAGAGTCTGCCTGTAGGGACCTTGACTCCCAAAGCCCTCACTCTGAATCCTTACCTTACAACTTCTGCCCTCATATAATCCCTGACTCCTAAGCCCCACACCCACAAACACCCTAAGCCCTGTCCTAAGCCCTCAAGCCTATGTAGTTTCACGCAAGAGTCCCTTCCGGGGAACCGGCGTGGATCGCAATTCATCCCTCACCTCGAGCTCCTTGATGAGGCGCTTGCTAGCAGCCTTCGGACGTTTAGGAAGTCTCAGAAGCCCACTTGCGGGAATTAGGGACATACATGCATGCATACATACCTTCACTCTTTCGGGCACAGATACATCAAT